TGATCATCGGCTTGTTTGGCCTCATTGAAATGTTGGGTGTAATTATTGTACCATTCTTTGGCCGTTTGCTCGATCGGCTTGTGCCATGGTGGTCCATAGTTGTTTCAACTGTGCTTCTTTTGGTGTTCCAAGCAGTACAAACTGGAGCGGGAGGTATAAACATCGCCGCGGTCATCATATCTTGCTTTGGATTAGACATGTTCCGCCAAACTCAATCCATATCACTCTCTACACTGATGTTCAGGTACAATATCATGTGTTTTTGTAGTTCTGCCATACTGATCGACGATAAAACAGCATTTCGGAGACTGCGCGCTCGCGTTTAAACGCATTGATGAACATATCAGTGCGTTAATCCACATTTTCTGTTGTAAATCAGCCAGATGATTCAACGGGCTGTCGCAGGTTTTTCTGGGTCAAATTACGGGGACGTCCGTTGGGACTGACGTTTTTGTTGGATACGGCTGGCGTGCAGATTCTGTGCTGTTTATGGTCATGTATGTCTTCCAGCTCGCTGTGCTTATCCTTAGAGGTCCCCATTGTCCTGGGAATCGCTGGTTTGGTTATGAAGGCGGGCTGGAATTCTGGAAGATCTTGCCGTCTAAGCAGTCCCAACTAGTTGCGAACGACGACCCTGAGAACGCAGAATGCGGTCACCTGGCTGTAGTGTGCAGCGAGAAGAGGGGCGCTAAAGGGGGGCGCTGAGGAGCTTCGCTAGTCTGAAAATCTCTCGAGCCGGAACTTAACACTGATACTGAACATGTTATATACTACTAGCTTACAGGCTGTAACATACAATACTTGATGATCCGATCTGCTCATGCATTATCACCAGTTCACCAACTTCGTACAGTTGTTCCATGGTAAATTACTCATAAAATCTGCTGATTATTGAGTACTATCACTATCACTCGGGTGTTTTGCAAAACTTTGATTCAGTTGGCGTATATGCAGCTCCTCTAACACAGCCAACACAATTTGTGCCATTCCAGATTGATGTTAAATTTCTACAGTCTATCACCAGAAGTTTACTAGATTTTTATATGCTGCCGTTGGCGAGTTATTGGAGCCACGGAACGATCCCTCGCTAAAAGCTGCTGTCCGTGTGTTTGTGGAGTCGGTCACACAGTGCACGGTAAATCGCTCCCATGATTATACATGCAGCATGAGCATATCCAGTCGCGGAGATTTATATTTTGCAAACTGTCACACCTGCGCTCATGTATATGGCTGATAACGACTGCAGTCGGATTTCTTTAAAACTTGCAGGCTGTGTTTTTACAGGTCTGGACCAGTTAAGGACCAGCTTCCAGGAAATTGTGGGGCCACTACTACTAGGATCTGCGGTATGCGGTGAATATCAACTCACATTCCTGCTCAGTGCTCTTGACATAGTATAAATAATCTGAGAGTCTCCAAATTTGAAACCACACTAAATATAAATAGCGGTTCTTAAAAGTTGAAGCACATGAGAGAATGGTATTTCCTGGCATTTGAATCCTCCGGAGGCCTCAGTACTTGGTAAAGCGTAATAGTGTGCATACAGAGTCTTGGCACTGCGGTTTGGCTTGTTTCAACAGTTTGTTGTAATACCTACATAATATTCTTGGTTCGCACTCAATGTTGAAACGTTGAGGCTTCAGGTTGTTGAGGGTGCAGAGCCATTCCGCAGCTGGTTAAACCCGTGAGAGCAAGCGCTTAACGCTTGCGGCTGGCGTACTTACCAATGCCAAGGACGGACTTCCGGTGAGTTGCTGACTTTCACGGTTGCTGATTGACTCGGAAGTCGGAAATATCTGTTTGACAGAATTAAAAGCCTTTATAAGGACGTCATGTGTATGAAAGGGCAGGTAGCTTTGAGGCAGCTGGTGTGCTTTCTCTCGTCGATTTCTCGGCCGTTCGGATTCTGTGTCCTACACTCAAGTTCGTCGTTTGTTTTTAGTGTTTTTTGAGTTTCCTATACTCACTTTCGCAGAGCCCGTGCACACCATATGACCTAGCCTCCGGCATCACTCCCAGTGCTTCCCGTCTTGCGTATCTTCATACTTATCGCAGTCCTCGTCGTAGCACACACTTCAGCAGGCGGCCAGTTCCTAACCGTCGCTGAGACTCACCCTAGACTTTAATGTCTCCCTCCAGCACTGAGAAACTAGGGGCGCACTGCGAGTCTCCCGAAGCAACTGCCGAACAAATTGCAGCGTCCCCAGAAGAAAGTTGGCCCACAAAAGATTTTGGTCTTATACCGATCCCGAAAAGGCTCCAATACGATCCCGTCAAACCTTTTCACTTTGGCATCTTTCTCAACATGTCCTTTGGATTTGCTAGCACATTCAGTACGGATTTCTCTGTACACAATGAATGGATGCTAATGGAAAGACAGCTGTTGCTAACTTGTATTATTGTCAACCGCTGTTGAGTATGTTGTTGCGAGGAGTTATCGGCTGTGCGTGTCTCTGATCTGAAATTCGTACATAGTCGAATTTTCGAAATCATTCGATGTTACATATGAAGAGGTTTCACGGTGTGTTATTTCGTCTGTTTCAATGAATCTGGGCTAATAGTGAGTATAATTCGGTTGTCAAGAATCCCCACCCTCGTTCAAGCAGGGTAAATGAACTTATCGGTTTCCGATGGAACGTTCACGACTTATTATCGTGGTCCAGATATTTAGTGGGATTACTTTTGATATCCCCCCTCGGCGACCTTGTTCGACGCAGACAACTGGTGTTGCTGCTGGTTGCAATATCCACTACTCTAACGATAGGTTTGGCCGTGACTAAAAATTTGCAAGTTTTTGAGACCTTGTCCTTCTTGGTCGGCGTTGCAACTGTCACTCCCCAGATCTTGATGCCCCTAGCTGCAGATCTGGCCCCACCTGAACGTAGAGCGTCTGCATTATCTGTGGTACTCTCGGGTCTCATGCTAGGCGTCCTGATCGCTCGTGTCTTGGCTGGCGTCATAGGTAATTTTACAACCTGGCGTGCAGTCTACTATATGTCAATTGGTGTCCAATCACTCGTTCTTATCGGCGCCTACCTGATGCTTCCTGACTATCCGTCCAAAAACCGTGATATGACCTATTTCCAAATCCTATTTTCGATGGCCAAGTATGCGGTGACGGAGCCACTTGTAATACAGGTGGCCATTATAAATATTGCATCCAGCACATGTTTCACTAGTTTTTGGGTCACTCTCACCTTCCTTCTCGGAGGTGCACCCTATTACTACTCCACGTACGCACATATCCTCTGACTTTTTACTGCCTGAACTTGAGACCATTTCCAGTCTCATAATTGGTCTCTTCGGTCTCGTTGGCATGCTAGGCGTGCTCGTTGGACCTTTCGCAGGGCGTCTAATTGATAGGCTGGTTCCTTGGTACGCAACTTTGACAGCCACTGGCTTGCTCCTGGTTTCCCAAGCTGTGCAGACTGCTGCAGGTGGAATCAATGTTGCAGCTGTCGTCATCGCATGCTTCGGGCTTGATGTTGCGCGTCAGGCCCAGCAAGTGTCTATGACCACTCGGGTCCTAAGGTCAACATATTTGTTTTTCCGTGGGGGGGACCGCTGTTGACTCACAATAATCATGCCACAGCATATCTTCCGCAGCTCGTGCGCGTTTAAACGCCATTCTCATTCTATCGGTGAGTTCCGCAGGAGTTATCAATCGGAGTGTTGTTAAGCAAGACGTACCAGCTCTTCATCGGGCAGGTGATGGGCACATCCGTTGGCACGCAAGTTTTCGTGCAACACGGGTGGAGAGCGTGTTCACTATTGATGCTAGCGCTCCAAGCCTTCTCAATTCTAGTTTTATTGCTGCGCGGTCCACATTGTCCTCGAAAACGTTGGTTTGGCTATGAAGGGGGACTCGAGGCACGGAAACGTGTTGTCTTGGAGAGGGAGAAGTCACGGAGTGGCGAGGGGGCAAAAGTGGAACACGATTCAGAGGCGCAAATAGAGGCGCCGATGCAAAATGGTGAAGGTCTGCAGTCCGATACATCATAGATAGAAGTTCATCTTGTGACCCGAGGAAACTTGCTCACGGGAAGGACGGCAGCGGTAATGCAATTTGCCACTGGGACCACCGAAAAAGTAAGGCCGCGTCTTTGATAAGAATCTACAATGGTGGGACCCACAAGTGCATAGCATGTAAGTCACGCCATACCAATATAGAGTTACAAACACTGAGACTACTTTCCAGTCGGGGAACTTTGAAGTGTTGGAATAGCAAAACTGGCGAAGGTTAGTGACCACTCAAAAAAACCTCATCGGAATGCGACATACCAAGGTCGTAGAAAATCAACAAACCATACATGATGCTTCCTCAGCCACACCGCGCGTTAAATCTGAAAACCCATATCAAGGAAAAGAACTCGGGAGATTAAGAAAACAGACACAAACCCCCAAATTCACTCCCATTAACACATGCAATAGTTAGTATAGCGATATCTCACGCATTTGCAAGGTTGCTTTGTATCCTCCACATTGTGTCCGCTCTTCAAACTTGAATCTTGAACGATACATGCATGAACATCCGCAAGCACTGCCATTATAACTGCTTTCATCCGACTGTGTTTCGTATTCCACTGCGAAGAATGTCGGAATCTGTGTGATGAGTTCTTGTGAAAGTAATAGTCCAGGAAACTGTCTCATTATAGTGCCAAAGAGGATCGTGCTTCGTGAAGCATGATCGATTTTATTGGCGAATGTATCGTAGAAATTATGTTGAAGTGACCAGAAGATGAAATAACATTTGTATGCCTAGCTGCAGGTAGCCATGTGTGGATTGATTTTCTGTTTGTAGTACTACGTGTTCTGTAGCTGATGTCGGAAGTTGGAGAAAAGGAACAGAGGATACTAGTCTCACCTACTAGCCAGACCAATCGATGGGAATTACTAGGATAAGCCGTCAAGACCCACGAGTCAACAGAGATGCCGCGAAATGTAAATCTTGTAAGTCGTGTGAGGGAACCAGGAAGACGTCCGCTTTGTCAGCTTGATCATGTGCGACATGTAGCATCCTGGCATGGCCAAATACATGTCATCATCATCAGAATTGACAATGACGAAGAAGAACTGATAGTCAGCCTTATCGGATATCAATATTTGCCTCGACTCAAACTACCATGGCGGCAGCAGCACGGACACTCAGCACCTGCATATTTTGCAAGATCGTCAAGGGTATGTTGACTACTTCTCGTCATTCAGCTACGCCACCTTATCACGCTACTGTGTTCTAGGCGAAATCCCAAGCTTTAAGATCATCGAGACAAACTTTTCGTTCGTCCTTTTTCTTCCGTCAAATTATAGACACATATTTATCAGAGATCAGGTACTCATTCCTTGACATTGGCCCCCTCTCCAAGGGCCATGCTTTGATTATCCCTAAAGGTGTGTCAGCCGTCACCAGAAGGGAAAAAGGACTATGTTGTGAGACAATGCGCTAATACGTGCATGATAGACCACGCGGCAAAGCTCCACGAGCTCCCAGATGAATACCTCGCGGATGTGATGCCCATCGCGAAGAAGATCGCCACTGCACAAGGGCTCGAGAACTACAACATCCTTCAGGTACGTTCAATCCCACATGCAATTACCGTCCCCCTCTCCCCATTCCCTGCTGTTTAGCTTGCAGAGCTGACCCCACCACCAAGAATAACGGCCGCATTGCACACCAGGTTTGTCTGCACCTTCAACTCATTGGGCTTAGACAGCATTGACTAACATTGGTTTGCGCGTTTAGGTTGTCGACCACGTACACTTCCACGTCATTCCCAAGCCTGATGCCTCAGACGAGGAGGGACTCGTCATCGGGTGGCCCGCGAAGTCCAACTTCGTAGATGAGGTGAAGAAGTATCACGAAGAACTCCTTGGAAAGCTATAAAGCGCATCCGTGCTGCACCCGAGTTGGCGATAAACAATAACGAAACTGGAAGGAAAGCTAATAACTGAATTCGCAATTAAATTATATTCTGTCTCCATCTGACTTACAACAGTTCTCGACGAGGGGTGATTGGTGGGTGTAATAAGAATCCTTAAGCGCCTTCCAGGTTATACACATTGCAGATGGCTCTCGTCATCTCTACAGTCCCTACAGTATGCATCCACCTCGTGCTATTTTTCTGCGCTTTTTTCCTGTTGATATTTCCTGTTCTGCATCCCTCTGTGTAGGGCCGGTGTCATGCGATGAGAGTTTCTCTGTCTCCTCCTTTTGACGTTGTTTCTTTCTTGTAGCTGACCGCAACAAGTGCCCATGCTGTTTCAAAGTAGTAGGGCATGCAAGGTGTGCACGACTAATTGTGCGGGGCACGACATCGGAGTAGCAGACCGAAATCTCCCTCACAACTGAGAGCAACGGCTCAACCACATCCACATCGACTTCATCCTGCGGCATGGCCGTCTGAAAGTCTATCACCTGCAAGTTGCAAGTCGCTGTAACTTCTAACCAAGCCATGATATGATCAACCCCCGATTTGGTTGGGCATCCTACCAGTGTTAATTTCCGCAACACAGGAAGATGAAGGCCGACAAATATTTCGGTAAACCAGTGCGAATAATTGAGATCCGAGGGTAGAGGGAGAGTCAATGATTCAAGGCAAGAATGGGTGACCAAATGGCTTCCAGCGTCGTCATGACCGCTAAATACATTCGCCACTATGATGGTCTCCAGAAAAGGGAAGATCACTGAAATGGAACGGACGATGTTTGGGGAAGCGTATTGAAGATGAAGATGTCGTAAATTTTTGTAGGTAGGAATAGGACTAGTAGTGATCCCCCCCGACTCACTCAGGATGTGTAGCCGACGGAGATTTGATGCATTGAATTTATGAAGACCTAACCAGCTACATTCCAAGGTTCTCAATTGCGGCGTATCTAACTTGAAAGTGGGCCATTCGTTTTCAAGTAACACGCCAACCACTGTTTCCCACCGCCTACTCTCGGACTGAAGAATCTCGAGAAGTCGAAAATCTGCCTGTGAAAGTTTCCTGTAACCTGGTACAGCTTTGCACCTGACAGGCTTATACATAAAGAGATGGCATGAAAAGTAGATCCGATCGATGCGAAGGGTGAGAGGCTGACTATCAGAGCGGGCGAGCCAACATTGGAGCAGACATGAATTCAAAGGAACGGCTTCAATGGCTCATCTCCACCGGGAAGTGTAATCTGGATGCGCGACCAAAGCCCTGTCGTCGAGTGTGCGACGACCCGCCAAAGGCGGCACACCCGGGTGAAGACTAGGGGAGGGTTGAGAAAATCTCCCAAGATGCGGATACCTATTAATTTGAAAATTCTAGGACAGTTTGAGATGTCGTTGACGATGAGCAAAAATATTTGCTGTAGAAGCTCCACCGGCAGCTGATGGATATGCGGCTCAGAGTAATGCATGTGAATAGAAGATAGATTCGAATCGCCAAGGGACAACGTGTCTGCCTTGTGGTGGGGCACATTCATATTCTTCTCGGCGAGGCCTCTTTGTGTTTGAGTGATTGAAAGTAGTAGAAAGAGAAATAGGGGTTTCGGGAGTCGGGGCCTGAATTGGAACGGTTCTGCGCTAGCAACTATTGAATTGAGCGAGTCAGATCCTTCAAGCATGTTGGTTGTACGGGGTCTTCATCCATGTGTATTGACCTAGTACGTAGTCAGAGATTGAAGGTCAGTAGCATTCGAGGTTTGACTCTCGAAGGTGCGTGTTTCGGGGACTCGTGAGTCATAGCCTCATAGGTGATGCAGGCCGCAGTGCCTTGAAAATCTACCACTGGGTAAATTAACAGCTTCCTGTAGCTTCCGAGTCTACAAAAATATTTGCTACTGGTATTATGTATCAAGATTCATGCAAGAGATATCTTACCTGTCTGTTCCAGATGTTCACGGTATAGTGCATACAAGGAGCTCACGCTCTCTCCAGTCACCTTCTCAAAGAGTTCCACCCTGTATCTCGAATCCTTCATAGATCCATTAAGTTTTCGGACAGTCCCTTCGCCACAGCGCTTCTCGATCCAGTCAAGAAAGTACGCCGTAGCATCGTACCCTGCGTCCCACTTCCCCTCAGCTCTAGGTCTCCAGTGTGGTGGTGCAAAACCAGCGTGAAGCCTTACAAAATCTACCAGTAGTTCGGAAGACAAAATTTAAACTCAAAGGATGGTATCAAAATGTGCACACCTGCAATACCCTCAATAAGACCCCCTGGACATGTCTCTTTTGCATTGTACTGATAGCAATGCACAACCTCGTGAACCAGCACGCCTAGTATTTCATCTCGTGCGCGAGCCTCTGATGTTTTGATCCAATCGAGGGAGAAATTGATCTCTTTCGTCTCATGCGTGCCAAATGTGTATGCTACGCCATTGTTTGGTCTGAGAACGAGCGTGATCGTCTTGACGCTTGGAATGATAATTCACAACACATTTATAGTGAATTGAGAATGCGTAGTACTCACTGCGTTGGGGCCGTGAGCGAGGTATACAGCCAGGTATAAGATGCTTCAACTGCAAGCTTGAGTGCTTCCTTGGGCTTGACGCAGTCAAAGAAGATCGATGCCCCAGGATGTGACAGGTCCTCCACCCTCAACACGAAATTGGGTATCGTCCAAGATGACGGGGCCGGGAGATCATGAGGAGGCATGAGTTAATGGTGTTCCGAGTCATAAGCAGACGAGCAAATGAGGGCGCCAGATTTGAATAGCTTCCTTTATAGGGCCCGTGAGACTCGATACGGAGCGAATGCTACCGGATTCCGGAACTGGCCTGGACAATGATCAACACGTCCATCGTCGCGTTCAACAAGTATTGAATAGAGTGGGAATACATAGTTCGTTTTCAACCTCTGGTAGGAACCTGGGGAAACCCTCACCCAAGCTATTTTGACCTGCTGCGGTCGTGACGCGCCAGTGCAAGCATTCCTATGTCCCACACCCGAACCACCGGCCAAGCCATCGAGGCCCACTCTATCGCTGATATCTTATCGCTGGACTATTCTTACTATCCCCCAGACAGTGCAGTTCTGGCCACCAGTTGATAATATCATATGGCGCAACGACGAAGTTTTGGAGCACGACAATATGGCAGGTGATGCGTGTCAATACTCATTTCGGTCACGAGGTTGGGGCATTGGGCATTGGGCTTGGGCGTTTAAATTTTGAGCTCCTTTATTCCCTGAGCAGGTACTTAGTATAAGTACAGCGTTCAACTTGAAGCTTTGAAGCTGATAGCATTCTAATAAGTCAGCACCACAATGGCTCGCATCAAGAACCAACACACATACAGCCTGAAAAACTGTCAGGGAGGCACTGCTGTTGACCTCTCAGGTGATGATAACTACTCCGGTAAGCATATCATCCCTGCTTCAGGAGTATCCCAAGCCAGCATTAATATTGCCTTGACTTAGTCCAAGGTTTTCGCCCCCACGATGGCTCCAACCAGGCGGTAATGCGTTTACTTGCCATCCCACTGCGTAGGTCGTACTGATTAGCTTCTCGGTTCTTAGTGGATCTTCCAGCAGGATGGCGACCAGAACGGGTGGTTCATAAAGTCTTCCCACTCTGGAAAATATCTTGGGATCAAAGGCAACCCCCAAAATGGCACCGCGGTTGTTGTTATACCAAACCCCTTCAAGTGGGATGTCAAAGACTCCGATGTTAAAAGCGTTAAAGGCATTAGGTGTGCATGTCTTTCATACCGCACATGTTTGGTCGTGAATTGATTCTTGTCGTTTTGTGTTCCGCAGGATATTGGTCCATGGTACGAATTTCAGCTTAGACCTATTCAACTATGGAAATTCGGCAAACAAGACGAAAATTCAGCTTTGGGGAAGTTGGCCTGGCGCCAATCAGATTTGGGGGTTTACCGACCGGGTTTCCATTGAGGATCAGCACACTTACAGCCTCAGAAATTGTCAGGGAGGCACGGCTGTTGACCTCTCGGGTGCTGATAACCACTCCAGTAAGCATCATCCCTGCTTCAGGAGTATCCCAAGCCAGCGCTAATATCGCCTTAATTTAGTCCAAGGTTATTGCCCCCACGATGGCTCCAACCAGGCAGTAATGCGCTTACTTGCCATCCCACTGCGCAAGTCGTACTGATTGGCTTCTTGGTTCTTAGTGGATCTTCCAGCAGGATGGCGACCAGAACGGGTGGTTCATAAAGTCCTCCCACTCTGGACAATACCTTGGAATCGAAGGCAACGCCAGTGGTGGCACCAGGGTCGTTGCTGTTCCGTCCCCTTTCAAGTGGGATGTCAAAGACTCCGACGTCAAAAGCGCCAAGGGCATTAGGTGTGCATGTCTTTCACACCGTGCATGTCTGGTTGTAAATTGATTCTTATCGTTTTTGTTCCGCAGGATATTGGCCTATGGCACGAATTTCAGCTTAGACCTAGACTATGGAAAATCGGCAAACCAGACGAAAATTATACTTTGGGGAAGTTGGTCTGGCGCCAATCAGATCTGGGCACCTACCGAGCGGGCTTCCATCGAGGACCAGCACACCTACAGCCTCAGATATCGTCAGGGAGGCACTGAAGACCAAGACGCTGATTCAAAGGCATGCTTCCATCCTAGGCTTGTATAATGTAATATGAACATACTCCATATAGATCCTTCCCGTCACCACGACCGTCCGCGAAGCATTTATCACGGGAGACTTGTCAACGGCTGAAAAGCTACTCACGCAGGAGATCGAAGCTGATACCAACAACTACATCTCCTATGCCAACCGCTCACTCGTTATGGCCCGCATAGTCGACTGGGACCGTGCCCTTCAAAATGCACTCAAGGTGACAACGACCTTATGCCCCCTTAAAATACGCTAACTATCATCCCGACATAGTCCCTCAGCATACAGCCTTCGTTGATAGGATATATCGCCAAAGGTAGCGCCCTCTGTGGCAAACAGCATGTTCACGATGCCAGGACAGCCTTTGACCTCGCATTCACGTTCGCGAACGGAGATTCGAAGACTACTCTACTCCTCTTCTTGATCAAGGCAAGTTATATTTGTTTTGCATCCGCCACACTTGATTAAGGATTTCAGGCTATCGCGTTGTTCAATGCAAATGAACACGAAGAAGCAATGATGCGTGTCAAAGAGCTGGCTGCCGGTCCCAGTGTAGAACCCGTTGCTTGTCTTGTCGTAGAGGTGACCATCATCCACTCAATCATGCACTAGTTTGTGCGTTAATTGGTTCGTGCGTGCTTCGCACATCAGGCGTATCTGCAAGTCCAACTGGGAACTACTGCCTTGGATGGCAAGTTTTACAACGAAGCTGTTGAAATTTTCGCTGCCGCTGTGAAGGCTAGCAATTTCTTTGCCAAATTGCCAATCCATACTATGTACGAGGAATTCGCCGTGGTACGTTGTTTGACGCAACTGAAAATATTTTTCCTGCTCAATTCCGTGTTCTTACAGTTCTTCGGGTGGGACCTCAAGTCGTTGTGGCAATCCGCCAACAGACAATTGTGCATTGCACTCCTTCGGGTAGGTAAATATGGAGAAGGTCTTGAGTTGTACCTATCAATGATGGAGGCAAGCGATGAAGCTACAAAGGCTAGCACACGTGCTTGGTTCGCTGGTGAGTCTTCAGTGATGTCACCCGTGCTACGTTCCTCACCTGCCTTTCACTTAGCTTTCAAGTAGAGTGAAGGGCGATATATCCTGCTAACAAAGACCCTGCCCTCCCGGCGAGCGGCTGCATATACGTTTTGACACGCGGACCTATTTTGTGCGATTATCCCGACATCACCTGTATTTTCTTTTGCATTCACATCGTATATTGGTTATGATAGAAACGAGCGCTGGGCTAGACAGAACGAACTCTAGTGAGTTCTATAGTACATTAGTAAGAGTAAGGAATGTAGCGGGCATACCGAGACATGACTTACTTACCCCCAGTCGAATCTGGGGGAAAACGAAGAGCGAGTGTGGCGAAAGTACCATGCGTGGAGTTGCCTAATATGGCAACCCCGCTGGCGTAGAACGAGTGATTGAGTCAAACGAAAAAGATACTATGTACTATCATGATGCTTGGCGAGTTGATTTCCAATAAGTTCATACCGCGATAATAGATCTACGATTCTACGGTTTTGCACCCCGAACAGCAATGTTCGTTTGACGCGTGCCCTTCACCATCGATTCATTAAAGTCTGACGTCTGAAGATCTTCGATGATCACTGCATATCGTGTTAATCCCTTCCATGTACTGCCCACAGGTCACATGTCGGATAGAGAAATACAAACGAAAGCGTCCATGTTGTGTGGCTGCTGGTCGATCTGCCAGAAATGCAGGTGCATGCGCAAGGCAAGGATCGCGAGGATGATAAACTGTAAACTGTATGTTGCCAAGTGTGGGGTGTTAGTAGGAATGCACAAACGAATTTATGGATGCGTACTCTTGGAAAATGACGTGGTACTGGTACTAGGTGTGCGGAATATCAATTTTTTTGGCCATACAGGGCATGAGTGGTTCACGCACGCGGAGATAATGGGACGCAAGGACGTTTACCGCCGATAAAACGTTCGAAACCAGAATCATCGTCGATGAGCATGGGAAATGAGTGACGATATATACATGTATTGACTCACACAAACCGCATGCATAATAAAAAATGTTATTCTTCACCAGGACGGCGTACAGACGGCCCCTGGCCATCCGCCAGCTCTGTATGGCATGTATGAGTGTGAGAGACATAAGACCTAGGGAAACGTTAGTCAGACATCTGTGCATATCTATGTTCAAATTGACAAACCTAATTCCAATATAAAACAGAGAAGAAACGGAACGAAGAAGTTGTCGGTGTTATAACAACCTGTGATGCCTGGGATGGCACTGGTAACATCTGCGAAAGTAGAGAGTGAATGTGAATGGTGGGCAGGGCGCCAATTGAGAAGCGAGAGCCCGTACAAGATGCAGTGGCAAGAGAGGCAAGGGCAGTGCTGGTACATGCTATGATGGCAACCTGACTGATGCATCTAGAATGGCCTCGAGGTGCGGTGAGAACATTGAACTCACAGGGAAAAAAAACCAGTATGAAAACGAGCACGAATCGATTGTGTTTCCAGAGTGCACATGTTCGGAGCATGAAGAAGCCTGTAGGGTTGAATGGGATCAGAAACGTGAGTATGTTGAGGGGGAGGAGAAATACAGTCGGAGCAACTGGCTGATGTCTGGCTGAGAACTGTGGGACTCTCAGCAAGGGTGTGCATAAATGTCTGTACCGTGCACATACCTGAGCAAACATTAACCAAGATCTTGCATTTCTAGCAATATTACATGGCGATCAGTCAGTGGTAAGTCTACTGCGAGTTCACATACATCAGGGTTCTCGTTCGGGATGAAGTTCGCTGAAGTACGACAAGTCAATTCACCACCAGAACAATCTGTGCTCAAGCCGGACGTACTATACAGATGCGCAGTTAAAAGGAGAAAAGGCACAAATCGGGTGGCGATATAAAGACCTTTTTCCTTGGTCCAGCGCGATTGAAGCAGGAATATCCACTTTGAACAGCATGTGATGATCAATATATCGAAGCTTGTGATGAAACGTTACCTCTTCTTGAAGCGAACAAGCAAAATTATAGGTCCGTAAGCAAGTTTAACAGCAGACGGCAAGACATCAAGACAAGCCCACCCAGAATGTAGCCATCGACGCTGAATTGTGTCAGGACAAGGGAGAGCATCGATCCAGACAAGTACGCACTGTATACATACTAGTGACATGTGGATCACCCATCTACCATTATATTATCCATTCGAAGTATCGAAAAGAAAGAGACGCACTTTGTAAGTCTACAGACTCATCGCCGCTGCAATATCTTCAGACGAGTACTTCGCCTCCATTCGGTCGAGAGGTAGAAAACGGGTCTTGCGCACAAAGGATACACATATGCAGCTGCTTATGTATCTCCAGCTGGAAACCGCTGAAGTTTCACTTTGAGCGGAATGAGACGCGACGCTGAAACAGTGGGTGGTGTTATACAATCAACATCAGCCGTTGCAACGCTACGACACCATCTGGACCTCCCTTTACTAAGTATCAATCGGATTGGGCTAGTTCAATCGGAATTTGCCCTCACCCCGCCGGAGGTGAGTACGTACGTAAAGATTAGCGAGTTTCGAAGTCAAACGATTGAATGAATGATACCAATATTTCAGAATGATAACCTGTGTGTTGCGGTCAAGTGTAAAACATTCATCGCCCTCTCGATCGCTCGAGTTTGGTGTGCATCAAGTTCTGATTCCAGTGCACCCAAAATCTTGATAATCATACATTCATCTACCACCGCCAGCAGTGGAAGCTCGATATCTATCAATGTTACACTGATCAACTTGAAGTCTATCCAGATGCACCTCCTGCCCACAACAGAAACTGCATTGTTTTTAAGCGAACAGAGCCAGATCTGACGAGGTTCGGCTCGACTAACCTCGTACAGTTCAAATAGCACTCCATAAACGTTTGAACGACACTGAATGTCATATCGGACTGCCCGCGGATGAAATGTCGGACAGAGGAATAAACACGAGGGCGTTAGAGCTATGTGCATATCGGTCTGTATGCCATAGGTGGAGGTGCATGCGTGTAGCGAGGATCGCGAGGACGATGAATTGGAAACTGTACATAGGTATGCATTTGGGGGTGCCGTTAGTAAGTCTGCGCATGGCAGGATGGAAGTGCGCACTCTTGGAACATGGCTTGGTATCCGTACTGTGGGTACGGATGGTTAATAGCTCGGTGATGGAGGAATTTGAAGCTTCACGCACGTGGAAGAGCAGCAACGTGAGAACATTCACTCCCGAGAAAACTTTCGTAACGAGAATCATTATTGATGAGCACAGGAAAATGGCCTGAAAATTTGTGTATGTCCTGACTCACACAGACCGCATGCATAGTAGAATATGTTATGCTTCACCAGGACGGTGTAGACATGGCTGTTGGATGACCGCCAGCTCTGTATAGCACGTATGAGCGTAAGGGACATGAGACCTGGAGAT